ACAGAATCACACAGAACCCACAGACACACACACACACACAGGCACACAGGCACACAGGCACACAGGCACACAGGCACACAGGCACACAGGCACACAGGCACACAGGCACACAGGCACACAGGCGCACAGGCGCACAGGCACACAAGCACACAGGCACACAGGCGCACACGCACGCGTGTTAGAAAGACCCCCTTGTACAAGACCAGTGCACGCCCAGCGGCTGCGGGACATGGACGCGGAGCACCGCGCTGAGGTCCGAGTTCTCCGCGCGCAGCGCGCGCACAAGGGCTGTGAGAGTAGCATTCTTCTCGATTTCCACCGCAAGCTGCTGCTGGAGCTCGTCGTGTCGGGCTATCTTCTGATACTCTTCCATGGTGAGCCGGTACCGGCCATTGGATCTAGACTTCTCGTATCTTTGCGTTTGCTCATACCTGGGCGGCGCTAAAGCCAACGATTGCACGAAGAGCTCCTAAACATTCTTAAGCTGAAGGCCTCTGGAAAGCCCCAGACAACTGCCAAGCCATGCCCAGCCGCTTCTGCTTGTTCTTTTTGTTCTCAAGCCGGACCACGCCGGTGCTCCGATGCCGCGCCATGGCAAGTGCCGAAAGTAAAGCCACCCACTGGGAAAAGCTCTTTGGCCAACTGCAACTGGGCTGGGAGGTTGGCTTTGCGTGCTGGGACGGCTTTGCTTTGCTTTTCTGCTCTCTAGCATGAGTGGCTCACGTGAGTTTCTTTTGAGGCCCGTCAGCACGCATCAGAAAGTATAGCACACAGTCAATCCAATGGGGGCCCCCCAGCCCCAACAGACTTTAGCGGACGGGCTTGTCTCGAAATAAAGAGATGCCGAAACATGAGGCCTTCGGATTTTCCTTCGTCTCGAAATAAAGAGATGCCTAAACATGAGGCCAGAAGCTGGTCAGTCAAGTTCATAGGAAAAAGACAGACCACAAATCAGAGTCTCGTGCGTTGACTGAACTTAACATAGAGCATTGTATCCAGCCCTAGGCTGGATTCCATTTCGCGAGATACCCAAAAGAAACGGGAATCAGACCTAGCTCAGCCACTTCGGGCCCCGAACTTGCACCTCATTGTTCAGCACGTTCGGGCCCCGAGCCGATGCTAGCCCAGCCAGGTCAAGCCGCAAACCTAGCTCAGCCACTTCGGGCCCCGAGCCTAGCCTAGCCGAACCTGCTACACACTTTTAGGCCCCCGAAATCGTTAAGCCAAGCCGTTTCGGGGCCCGACGCTAGCCCAGCCAAGTCAAGCCACAAACCTAGCTCAGCCTGCACCTCATTTTTCGGGGGCCCGATGTAGCCCAGCCATGTCAAGCAATCCTAGCTAAGCCACTTTGAGCCCCGGTCTTTGACTTCCAGCACGCTCCAAATAAATCCACTTCATCTTCGGGCCCCAAAGCCAAGCCGTTTCGGGGCCCGAGGCTAGCCCAGCCAGGTCAAGCCACACACCTAGCTCAGCCACTTCGGGCCCCGAACTTGCACCTCATTGTTCAGCACGTTCGGGCCCCGAGCCGATGCTAGCCCAGCCAGGTCAAGCCGCAAACCTAGCTCAGCCACTTCGGGCCCCGAGCCTAGCCTAGCCGAACCTGCTACACACTTTTAGGCCCCCGAAATCGTTAAGCCAAGCCGTTTCGGGGCCCGCAGCCCAGCCAGGTCAAGCCGCAAACATCCGCAAACCCAGCCACTTCGGGCCCCGAACTTGCACCTCATTGTTCAGCACGCTCGGGCCCCGAAATCGGAAGCCAAGCCGTTTCGGGGCCCGACGCTAGCCCGGCCAAGTCAAGCGACAAACCTAGCATACCTCAGCTCAGCCACGGCCCCCGAACTTTGATGTCCAATCCCCAGTCCCAGCACCAAATCACCTACCCCCCCGGCAAAATACACTCCCCAAAGGTGTGCAATTGTATTGGCCGGCCCTGGCACTTTCCACTTCAGTCCACTTCATCTCTCCCCTTATCTTCGAGCCCCGAAATCGCAAGCCAAGCCGTTTCGGGGCCCGATGCCAGCCCAGCCAGGTCAAGCCACAAACTTAGCACACCCCAGCTTACAGGCACGCATGAAGTGCGGTGGCTGCGCTTCTTGTGCCGCCTGTGGACTAAAAAACGCTCCTCCATGGTAGGGGGATTCCCCATGATCCCCCGCCTAACCAAAAAAAAACTGGCCAAAATACACAGGTTTTCGCTACCAAAACGTGGCTTTAAGAACCCATAGTTTGGAATACGAGGTTCTACGGGATGACTACTCCATAGTCTAAGGCCAAATAGCCCGAAAGCCAGGGCTTCGGAGACGGACCTTCTTTTTTCAGGTGTTTGAAGGGCAAGGATGTGCAAGGCAAGAAGCAAAAGCACAATGCACATACAAACCCACCGCTGGAAAGAATTGTGATTCCGGACTGGGCTATCGGAAAGAAAAAATACGCACAGCGCCTTGGCCTGTAGGTGGCTTTTTGTGTCAGAGTCCGAGCCAGGTTTGGTGGGTAGGTCAAACTGACGAACAAAACAAGCCCCACAAAACAAGCCCCGACAATAGTGAAATCCTCGTAGCACTCATTCAGCCCCTGCTGGAATTGTTGCCACATGTTGCCACCCTCAGCCCGACCGAGGCCTCAAAAACACCACGTGGGGACGCTTTCACTCAGAGGACGTGTGGTAACATGGGATTTCCGTTAGCCCCCCTTTCTCGTCAGATACGGAGTCAATGAGGGGTCCACAAAACAAGGCTGCGCCAGCATAATGGACGTTCCGCCTGCCAGAAACGCGCCGACAAACCACGGAGGCATGCTGGAGGCATAAGGTGCCAACGCACAGGGCCAGGAGGAAATATAGATGACTTAGAGAAACATACTGTCCCGTCGGTGAAAGCTTTGGTTGCTGCCTCCAGAGAGCGACCGGGTTTGGTGTTTAAACACGCCGCGGCCTTGTCTCCATCCGCCAGCAATGCGTCACGAAACACCACAGCCCTTTTATAGTACAGCCTTCTGTCATGCTCTACTATGGCACTCCGCCCCCGAGCTATCAGTCCACGTCCAATCCATGGCCTATCGTCTCATCGGCTCAGCCACCTCAGCCTCTCCGTCTTCCGCCGCCTCCGTGGCATCGTTCTACCAAAGGCAAGCAAAAACACGCCAGCACAAACGGCGTGGCGTCTTCAACGGGTGTGTGCAAGATAGGAACAAGTGCGAACAGGCGCCCTGACTTCCTCAATGCTCCACGGCAATCCACAGCAGTAGGAAGACTTTTGTGAGGGTCAGCTGGGGGAAAGAATGACTTGTTCATACGTGTTCTGTCTTATTTTGATACTGCCCGCGTTTGCCCTCTGCGATGTTGGAAATCGGCGCTCACCCCTAGGCCTGCTGGACGCCTTCAGCCGTCAAAGGCATCTCATTGTGACCCCGCGGGATTGTCAGCGTCTTCAGAGTGTAGATTGCGGCGCCGACCGGCGTCAGCGTTTTCTCCACATTCTCCACAACCTCATCCGGCTGCAGGGCTACGGGTGGGCGCGTGTCTTGTTCCATACAAAAAGAGCCCTGTTCCGAAAGCGAAAAACTCCGTTTGCGCAGAATGCCTCAGCAATGGTGGACGCCGCGCTTTCATGTTTTACGACATCACACGGCCAATCACGGCCATCCGCGCCCCGGCCTGTCACATATGTTAGGTTGAAGGCCGCGCCCTCAGGGTCTCCAACCGCTTGCACCAGCTGCCCAGATCGCCAGCCATCGCTGCTGAGCATGCCACACTTATCTTTTATGGACTGCCTGGTCACATCTCTCCAGCCCGCTTGGCAGCTGGCATCCAAGCTGAAGCAACTCAAAGGCAACGTGTCCAATGCCTTTGTGGATGACCGCGGAGCGCCAGGTGTGAGAGCGGCTTGCTCCTTGAGAAACTTCTCGTACTGGCCCAAGTCGATTGTGCTGGCAAAATCAAGATTGCACGAATCCACCCAGGCATTGAATCTCTGAAGCCATGGGTCCTGCTCTCCAAGGTTCACTTCTTAGACATAGGCTGATCTAACGCTGATCTAACACCCTGAACTACCATGACTCTGGCATTTCTGAAAGTAGCCCCGGCCTCTGGCCCTGGCGCAATTACATCCTCTATGTCTTCCACTGGCGCTATGGCCTCTGACATGGCAGCTTTCTCAAAAGCAAAGCGGGGCAAGTGGGAGCCAAAATTCTGCGCGAGGACGCTACGCGAGCCCTGTTGTGCAAACTGGGGCGCGCAAGCCAACAAATGCGAACGCTCGCTGATATGGGCTGATTCTGTTGTGCAGCATGCGCTGGGCGCCTAGCGAATCTCAGCCAGGAGGCTGATGCGCCCAAGCTGCCTGGGCATGGGGCATGCTGATGAGATCTGACATCGCACAGTGTGCAATGTCAGACCCTAGCTTTGGGCATGCGAAAGCACAGGCCATGTTCGGCAGCCCGAGCGAAGGGTCTGACAACGCACAGTGTGCAATCTCAGATCAGGATTTCTGCTACCTGGGAGAAAGCTAAGCAAAGGCCCTAAGAATTTATAATGTGAAGCAAGAAAAGCAAGCACACGCAAGCGCGTCCCGTTGCATTTTTTCCGCGCCAGGCCACGGCCACCCCTAGCCATTACGCGCTGTAGCGCGTACAGTCGTACGCGTGGCTGGCAAATGCGCAGCAAGCGCAGCGCCCCTCTTGTCTCCCCTCGGTGCTTTTTGATGCCTTGAAATTGGCAACATGGTACATCACAATATCATGGCAGTATCATGGCACTGCTGCAATGCGACACTTGCCCAGCCATGCATCCCCACGCTCCCCAAGCCCGAGTTTTCCCAGGCCCAGGACACAGCGGCTATGAGTTTCACTGCCGTCCTGGGCAACACTCAAACACAAACACAAACCCCCATACCCAAGCTGTCGCGAAACACTCCGCGCCACACTCTTTCCTAGGTGGGTAAGGCGCTATATGACAAGTGATGCACATGCCTCAGAAAAGCTACAAAGTCTTGTGTGGTCTTGACAGGTGCAACTGCTGCAAACTTGGCCCACACACCATTTGAGATCTCTGCCGCGGAGGGCTGCTTCTTGTGCATGCCACCTTGCTTTGCAACAATTTCAATGAAGCCTGGGGTTCTTGCCACCAGCTCTCGCCACAAAGGAGGTCCCTGTCTGGAGTTCGCCAGAGGGGCAACCGTGCCATCGCTCTTCAGCAGGGGGGTCTTTGAGACGCGATCGTACATGCTTTTCATGATACCCATGTACTCCATTATGTTCTCCTTCCCGCGCTTTGTTGGGTGGAAGGCGTCGTAGGTAAAAACGGTTGCTGTTGGCGAGCCCGCTACTTCTGTTGACGACTCGACCACCCAGCCCTGCCCCTGCACTTCCTCCATGGCCCGGCAGGCCCGCTTGCTGACCTGAACATGCAAGTACACATCCGCCTCTCTGCATGTGAGTTGGCACTGTGGGATCTCGTACAGAATCTGCCCACCATGCGGATTCACAGCTGTAGCTTCATGGCCGCAATGCAGCCAATAGACTCCAGACTCTGCCGGGCCGACTGGCTCCAAGAGGCAGATATGGCACCACGAGCAGCGGTCAGCCTCAATGCTGCCCTCCACCTCGTAGTTGACATGCACGGTCTTGGCCTTCTGGGTCTTCTTCGCCTTGGCGGTCCACACCCTTTCCACAAGGGCAGGCTGCACCTTGCCGCATGGGTGCATGCGCGCGGCCACAAACTGGTACTCGCGAGTGCAAGAAGGGCGAAGTGTCTGCACCTGCTGGGCAGCATCGCTGCCAGCCCGCTTCGCTGCCTCTCCAGCAACCATCGCGCTGCAGGACGCCCAGGCTTGAGCGCGAGATTGTCGATGTCCTGCCAGCTCTGCTTGGCGGGCGCAAATGGAAAGCTCTCGCACTTGCTGCGCGTGCTCGCTCAAAGGCCGCTTCAGGCCAAAGACCTGGCTCCGTGACAGGAAGCCCTCCGAAGCACGAACATCTCGAACAAAGCTACTGAAAGCTGGCATGAGCCGGCGCACTCGCCGCATCGCTAGCTTTTGGTTGTCGTTGTCTGGTGGGGAGAAGCTGTGCAAGCCGTGCCCGCTTAAAATCTGGCTGAGGGTTCGAGGGCCGCTCTCTGAGCAACACTCGGGCTCTACATCCGGCTCAGCAGGCACATCCACCTTCAAGCGAACATCATCGACAGCTTCTTGGAGCATCTCGATGTCACGCTTGATGACACCCTCCGCCTCCACCAGCTGAATGGCATGCGCAGCCTCTGCCTTGCTAGCATCCTCCTGCGCTCAATCGGCGACGGGGAGGCACAGAAAAAGTCTACATGGCGCAATGACATGCATGAAAGCACGCTGTGCTGCATATGTGCTGACTACGGAACTCCAATGAGCTCCAAGGCGTCAGGCTGGCACTAACTGAGCGAAAGCTGAGATGAACCCGTCTGGCACAACATGGCCACTTCTGCTGCGTTTTTGTTTGTCTTAAAGGCGCTCCGCGTGTCTCCCACTAAGCAAGGATTGAAGCCTTTGTTAGCTCTCTTGGGATACCTCCACAGCCCAAAGGTGCCTAGCGTGTTCGTGCCATTCAGGCACGGCCGCAAGCGTGCCCCCAACACCGTGCCTGAAAACTTAGGCACAGCCACAAGGGTAACCCAAACACTGCGCTTGAAAACTTAGGCACGGCCGCAAGCGAACCCCAAACACTGTGCCTGAAAACTTAGGCACGGCCACAAGGGGAACCAAAACACTGCGCCTGAAAACTTAGGCACGGCAACACGGGGAACCAAAACACCGTGCCTCAAACATTAGGCACGGCCACAATGGTAACCCAACACGGTGCCTGGAAACTTAGGCACGGCCGCAAGCGTACCCCAAACACAGTGCCTGAAAACTTAGGCACGGCCACCAGGGTATCCGAAACACGGTGCCACAAGGGTAACCCAAACGCTGCGCCTGAAAAAAATGGGCATGGCCACAAGCTCAACCCAAACACTGTGCCGGAAAACTTAGGCACGGCCAAAAAACACCAAACACTGTACCTGGGAACTAGTTAACGGGCCCGGGGTAACCCCACGCAGATTCCTTCAATTAGACATAACATTGCGCCTGGGCGCTTGGGAATGCCTGAACGGGGACACAGACATTGCGCCACCTGAACAGACTCTTGAAACAAAAGTAACATTGCGCCTGGCAACTTGGGGATGCCCTAAAAGGGTAATCCGAACATTGTGCCTGAAAACTCAGGCATGGCCACAAGGGTAACCCAAACACTGTGCCTGAAAACTTAGGCACGGCCACAAAACCAACCCAAACACTGTGCCGGAACCTGTTAACGGACTGAGGATGACCCAAACAACTCCGTAAAATAGGAACATCGACCGAAAAGGCAACCCAAACACTGTGCCTGGGAACCTGCTAACGGGCTGAGGGGACTTCCTATCATGGAAATACCATTGTTCTTGGGAACTTGGGAACGGCCTATACACTGTGCCTGGGAACTTGTCAACGGGCTGAAGGTATCCCAAACAGATTCCTTGAACTAGAAGCAACATTGTGCCTGGGCATTTGGGAACAGCTTGCAAGGGAGCCCACACACTGCACCTGGAAACTGGGAAGCGCGGCCTCAGGAAAACCCAACGACTGCACCTAGGAAAATCAGATGCTGTTGTGAGGGCTTCCAAATCCAAAGCCACCCAAGTTGTGCCTGGGAACTTAGGCACAGCTGCAAGGGTGCCCAAACACTGCCTAAAAAAAATAGGCACTTCGGCAAGGGTGGGCGAAGCACTGTTCCTGAACAATCAGGCACGGCCGGAAAACAAGCCCAAAATGCACCTGGGAGCGTAGAAGCGGCCTCAGCGGTAAATCAAACCGGGAACGTTGGGGGTTGTTTTTTGCTACGTGGCAAACTGCTTGACATTCATGTCGCTGTTGGAAAGCCAGAAGGAGGGAGTCAGGGGAGCCAAGCTGCATTGTGCTCCTTTCTTAGCCAATAGCCAGGACAACAAAAGTTCAAACTTTTTTTTGTTTAACAAGAAACATGCTATGAAAACCCCCCACCCCCCACAGGAAAGCGCACAAGCTATTGAACGATTCAGTCTTGTGTCACGCAACATGTGTCAGCTGCCGCCGCTTCTTTTTTCCCAGCTGCTCACAGCTGAGCCCCTACCCTGGATTAACTAAAACAAACATGTTATTCCAATTCAATGTGTGATTTTTTTCTAGATCCGCCGCCGCCAGGACCGATTCAGCATGCTTCAAGGCTTTTTGGCCTCCCAGTGCGCTTCGCAGCTGATCGGTTTCAGCTCAACGCTGTCCTGGTCTAACTTTGGACCTCTCTACTTGGGCACAATGCAGGAGGGCCTCGATGATATTGCCCCTAAAATTCATACGTCCAGAGCCGGACTTCTCACTGGTGGACCCGTACCTGCGGTAAGTGGCGGACATCGCTTGCTGCAGCTTGTGGGGTTGAGAGAAACGATGCAACATCAGAACGTGATAGGCAAAATCCAAACAAACATTCCCCGGATCGTCATATGCGCACTGGCCGGCCCATTTTCTGATACCTTTGTCGGAGGGGATCTGGATGTAGGTCGGCAGCCTATTCTCAGACTCCACAAACTGCAGCCCAGCAAACGTCACCAGCGTCCAAGCCCGCATCGACGTTGGCAGCTGACGAATTTGAGCAGGCATCATCATGTCTTGCAGATCCCCCAATGCAGAGCCCTGCTGCAGCCACTGCCGGCACAAGTCCAAGATTTGATCTACATCTGTTTGGTGGCTGGAGGGTGCACTCATCAACCACCCCTTTTCCATGGCATCCAGAAGCAATCCCACTGCCACAGCGCCTTCCGCTGCCTTTGCCTCAAAATCCTCATCATGGACCTCCTCATCATGGACATCCTCTTTTGGGGCCTCTGCCACCTCACTTGGAGCTGCTAAGCTCGCAGCCAGCTCCTTTTCCAGCTCCTCCAACTCAGCTGGTGATCTGTCAGGCTTGGCTTCAATCTTGAGGTCTTTGTAGAAAGCCTTGAAATGATCCCAGGCCACTGAGCGGAATCCCCGCTTCTTCCAACCAAGCCAAGCATGGGCACAACGGAAATCTTCAATGTAAATGCACCATGAATCATACATCTCGTCGGGCCACTCTTCATTCAATGGCAAAGACCATCTGCCACATTCGAAAAGAAAGCGCATGCGCTGGAAGCCGAGCTGTAGCTTCGGCAGCCATTTTGATTCGGGCGTCTGTTTGGGTCTGGCTTCTGAAGGCTCCGAAAAACCAGCAGCAGAGCTGGCAGCAGAGGCTTCAGTCCTTCCGGCCCCACTTTTTTTTGCAGCTGCGTTTGCCTGCTCTGCCGCCTGCATGGCACCATAAAAGACTTGATCCTTGAACATGCCCTCGAGTCTGCGCATGTCGCCATCTGTCAGCCGAAGCTGTCGGTGCCAATGCAAGGCCCTTGCAGGGGCTGTTTGATGTTTTGCTTGTTGACCGAAGCTTGCATCTGGTCTCCATGCAAAGATAATGTTGAACATCATTGAAAACAAATATATCAGTGCTCCCCACGCATCCGTCTTCCCAAGCGATTGAAAAAAGCGCTTCGCCACCTGGAAATCAGCTTGTGGCTCGGAGAACCAATCCGGCGGGGTCTCGTAAAATGAAAGAGCCTTTGCCTGATTGTGCCTCCGGGCCCTCAACATGTTTGCTCTCCTCAGCTTCTTAGGGGGAGGAGCCTCTGGACCCGTGACGTCTGCCGGGGGCGGAGGCGGTAATGCCGAAGCCTGGCTTGAAGACGCCCCATCGTCAGAGACTTGCACACGCCCAGGCCGTAGGGGCACTGAGATTTTCTGATTTTTTTCTTCTTTGGTGCCATGGCGGTAGACAAACCTGCCCCTGGAACACTACCATATACAATTATGAAACAAGGCCCAGCTGCAACAGCTGTCCTCTGTCGGCTAAAACAGTCATGATAGAGAAAACTTTGACAGCTAAATTGTCTACTGTTTTGATAGACTGCATAAACCTGAAGTTGTTGCTGGTGTCGCATTGAAGCCAAATTGGGCTTCGAACAGCCAGCAGCATCCTGCACGAAAACGAAAAATTGCTCAAATCAACACAAGCTTGAACATCCTATAATGATAGAAAGGGAATCGAAAGAAACCATCCACTATTCTTTTCCAATGCCCAGCTGCAGCAGCTGTCCCCCACTGGCTGAAACAGTCACAGTAGGGCAAGCATTGGAAACCGTCACACACTTTTTAGATCTGATCCAGCATCTTGCATGAAAACCGAAAAATTGCTCAAATCAACACAAGCTTGAACATCCTATAATGATAGAAAGGGAATCAAAAGAAACCATCCACTAGTCTTTTCCAATGCCCAGCTGCAACAGCTGTCCCCTACTGGCTGAAACAGTCACAGTAGGGCAAGCATTGGAAACGGTCACACACTTTTTAGATCTGATCCAGCATCTTGCATGAAAACCGAAAAATTGCTCAAATCAACACAAGCTTGAACAGCCTATAATGATAGAAAGGGAATCAAAAGAAACCATCCACTAGTCTTTTCCAATGCCCAGCTGCAACAGCTGTCCCCCACTGGCTGAAACAGTCACAGTAGGGCAAGCATTGGAAACGGTCACACACTTTTTAGATCTGATCCAGCATCTTGTATGAAAACCGAAAAATTGCTCAAATCAACACAAGCTTGAACATCCTATAATGATAGAAAGGGAATCAAAAGAAACCATCCACTAGTCTTTTCCAATGCCCAGCTGCAACAGCTGTCCCCTACTGGCTGAAACAGTCACAGTAGGGCAAGCATTGGAAACGGTCACACACTTTTTAGATCTGATCCAGCATCTTGCATGAAAACCGAAAAATTGCTCAAATCTACACCCTTTTACCCTCGGTGCGGTTCTTCGCTTCCGAGGCTCTGGCGCAAAGCTGCCAGCAGCAAGAGGGACCAGGTCCAATCACAGGCCTTCGGGCCAACGCACAACAGGGCCCCCGTGGACCTATCTTTTCTTGCAGCTGCTTCTTTCTTGTTGTTTGGCGCTGTTTTGAAGTTGTTGTGTTTTTTTTGTGGGGGGGCATATCTAAACGCTTACCTATATAAGTCAAGGCCCAAACTGTTCTCCATATCCCTGATGATCATGACTTGTTTTGGCTTTACAGTTCCCAACATCTTAGGAAACACCCGCATCAACCAATGGGGATTCAAACGCTCTTTGCTCGACAAGGTCATACGGGGAACCTTTTGGGGTTCTAGGTTCCAAATGGCGTGCCTTTTTTTCCAAGTCCTTTGGGCGAGCGAGACTTGGGAGGACGAATAAGCCCGGCTTGGATGG